CTGTAATCTTGTTGCTGGTATCCTTACGATTTATATTGATATTGTTTCCTGATTGCTTATTTGTACCTTATGACTATCATTAAGTGTTGTACCTTATGATTCTTTTCTTTTATATACACTGAGAGCATATGCACCAAGACAAATTCCTTGTGTGTCCAATCACACTTGGCCAATAAAGAATTCTATTCTATTTAAGACTTGTGGACTTCAATGCCCAGAATTTCCCCAGCCAGTGTGGGGAACTCTGGATGTTGAAGTCCACAAGTCTTAAAGTGGCCAGGATTGGACACCCTTGCCCCACAGACCAAGAACTGGCATTTATGTAGCCCGCCTAAACTCTGCTTATCTCCAGTTATGGACCGGTTGAAGTTTCTTCTGGAGAACGATGATGATCAGACGTCAAACACGGAAAGTTCCTGGCTGGATCTCCTGCTGTTCAACTCGTATTTAACTTTACCAAAGGTGAGTTTGCATAGGGAAATGAGAGTCGGTAGCATGCACAGGTGTCGCCTGCCATCGGCTCTTCTTATCCCTGAGCCAAGGGGGGCCGATTAAAGCCCAGTCTCCCGGCAAAGGCCAGGGTGGGGTCAACAACCCACCCTTCAAAACGATCAAATATTGACTGAACTCAAGAAAGCAGGACTCGCACACAGAGTTAAGAGGCCATTTGTGGTTCCTTATCAGCATCTCGGCAATTTGTAAGGACAGCCCCAATCCAGAAGGGGCAGTAAAACATCCTGGTCTAAGCCCACACCTGTGCAAAGATAGGATGTGCCTGTAGAGGTTTGTGTAGTTCTGCCTGGACACACACACACACACACACACACACACACAACCTAGAGGCTCTGATCAGAAGGTGGAAGCTGTTCCCTCTTGTCAAATAACAGGAAATTGGTACAGGCAGTCCAATTTAGGGGCAGTTCAAAGTTATAACAAGCCTGAAAAAAATGTCTTGTGTTATGACCATTTTTTCACACTTATGACCATTGCATCATACTGGAATACTGCTATCAGGTTTCCCCTAGTCCTTCTTTCCTCTAGGTTAGGTAAAGCTAAAGGTTCCCCTCGCACATAAGTGCTAGTCGTTCCCGACTCTAGGGGGCGGTGCTCATCTCCGTTTCAAAGCCGAAGAGCCAGCGCTGTCCGAAGACGTCTCCGTGGTCATGTGGCCTGCATGACTCAATGCCAAAGGCGCAGGGAATGCTCTTCCCTTCCAACGAAAGGTGGTCCCTATTTTTTTCTACTTGCATTTTTTACCTGCTTTCGAACTGCTAGGTTTGCAGAAGATGGGACAAGTCACGGGAGCTCACCCCGTTACGCGGCACTCGGGATTCGAACCGTTGAACTGCCAACCTTTCGATTGACAAACTCAGGTCTTAGCCACTGAGCCACCACATCCCTCCAGATTCTCTAGATTCTCCAAACCCAATTCCTGCCACCGTTCTTCATACAGTGTTTAATTATCTTAGTTGCTCTTCTCGGCACTTTTTCCAAAGTCTCAACATCTCTTTTTTGGTAACGTGGTGACGAAAACTGGATGCCATATTTCCAGGTGTGGCCTTACTAAGGTTTTAAAAAAAACAACATGGTACTAATACATCACGTGATTTTGATTCACCCGTAACATACGGGGAACATACATTCACTGCATGGGTGAAATGTAAAATTTGTTACTACCGGTTCTGTGGGCGTGGCTTGGTGGTGGTGGGTAATGTGACTGGGTGGGCGTGGCCAACTTCTTTTTTTTTTTAAACTTTTCAAAGCATTTTTTCTAATGCTTTGAAAAGCCTCTGGCGATCAGGCAACTCAGCTGGGATCGTCAGAGACTTTTCAAAGCATTTTTTAAACCACCTCTTCAGCCAAGAGGTTGCAGAAAAAAATGCTTTGAAAAGCCTCTGACGATCCTAGCTGAGCCGCGCGATCATCAGAGGCTTTTTTTTTCTTTTAAAAGCATTTTTTCGTCGGAAGAGGTTGTCGAAAAAATGCTTTTAAAAGAAAAAAAAAAGCTTCTGATGATCGTGCACCTCAGCTGGGCGTGGTGAGGGGGGCAGGGATTTTTGCTACCGGTTCTCCAAACCACCCGCCACCATCGCTACCGAATCAGGCGATCCAGTCCGAACTGGAAGCATTTCACCCCTGATTCACTGTATGTTGCAGAAGAAAAAGCACAACCTGAGCCACGCACAAAAAATCAGCCACGGCTTCCATTGCACCCCCATGCTTACCTGTTTAACATTTTGAGCCACACCCTGTGGGCACACCTAACTCACAACATTAAAAAAAAAAATCCATGGCAGTTAGAAAGGTAGCAAACTTTGGAAAGGAAGAAAACAAATCTTTAAATGTGTGGGTTTGTGCGTGAATACGAGGATATTTCAGAAGAATTGCTGGGATTGGTGAGTCAAACTTTTGTGTGTTTTTTTTTTTAATTTGTAAGCTGAGAAGCAGCCCGAGTCTCTCCTTCAAGTTGCACAATTGTGACCCTCAAAAATGGAGCCCAGCCCTGCCTGGGAAGAACAAACAACTCAGCCAGTGGAGAGTTATTGTTGGAGTTGGGGACGATTGGATCGGCTGCCCTCTCTTCTCCGGATGGAACAAAAGCTAGATTATCCCTCACAGAAACACAGCCTTGCAAGATTTGCAACCAGTTTTGGTCACCACCACGGAAAAAAAGTTCTTGAGGGCAGAGAAGAGCAACGAAGATGATTAGGAGAGTGGAGGCAAAAACGTACAAGGAACGGTTGCTGGAATTGGGTATGTCTAATTTAATGAAAAGAAGGACTGGAGTGACATGGTAGCAGCCTTCCAATATTTGAAGGGCTTCCATAAAGAAAAGGGAGTCCATCTATTCTCCAAAGCACCAGAAGGCAGGACAAGAAGCAACGGATGGAAACTAATCAAGGAGAGAAGCAACCTAGAACTAAGGAGAACTTTCCCGAAAGAACAATTAACCAGTGGAAGAACTTGGCTCCGGAAGTTGTGAATTCTCCAACACTGGAAGTTTTTAAGAAGAGAGCCATTTGCGGCCCTCCTGAGCTCCGTTTTCGCTGGCAGAGGCACCTTCGTGGGCTGGTCCTTCACTGTTTCCAGGGTGTCCCCACGGGCCAGATCTAAGCACTCTGGTCCCGGATTTGGCCCTCAGAGGTCCAAACGATCAACATTGGATAAATAGTTGTCGTTTTGATCCAGAGCGATGCCATCCAAAAAGGCCTATTGTGTTTGAGAGTGCCAGGGCAGATCAAGGGCTGCTAACAGTTGGTGAGAAATAGTGAAGCACCTGGATTTTGTTTGAGTTGATATAAAAAGAAGAGGAAGAAAAGCCAGAACAAGGGAGAACAGGATGCACACCTTGATCACAACAAACGGGGCATTGAGATTTTGGGTCATATATCATAGCTATGCAAACAAGGTCATCCTATGAGGTCCTTTCATTATTCATCACCTTTTCCTTTGAAAAAGAAAGAAAGAAAGAAAGAAAGAAAAGCCAGCGAGCAGAGCTGCTGATCCAGTTCTACAGAGGAATGATTGAATCTGTCATCTGCACCTCTGTAACTGTCTGGTTTGGCTCTGCAACCCAACAAGATGGACACAGACTTCAGAGGATCATTAGAACTGCAGAAAAAACTATTACTACCAACCTGCCTTCCATGGAGGACCTGTCTACTGCACGAGTCAAAAAGAGGGCTGTGAAAATACTTACAGACCCCTCGCATCCTGGACATAAATTCCTTCAACTTCTACCCTCAAAACGACACTATAGAGCACTGCACACCAGAACAACTAGACGCAAGGACAGTTTCTTCCCGAACGCCATCACTCTGCTAAACGGATAATTCCCTCAACACTGTCAAACTATTTACTAAGTTTGCACTACTATTAATCTTCTCATCGTTCCCACCACCCATCTCCTCCCACTTACGACTGTATGTGTCAGCACTTCAACCTGCATTTACTTTAGTGCTGACATAAGAAGGAGAAGCGGAGGCGTCTGGAAAGGGACGTTTGACTTTTCACCTACTTATTTTCCCTGGAGATAATATCCCCTAGAAGATGGGATGGGAGGGGGGAAATTCCTTTGAGCTGGAGCAGTAGGTTAGGGGTAGAGTGACTTGGAAGATGGCCAATGAGTGCAGAGGAGTGGGGAAAGGAAAGGGAGGGTTTTGGGTCAGGAAGTCAGTGTTGGCTACGATGGAGTCAGAGTTAGAATGTCGTGCTTAATAAATGGGAGTTTTTCATCAAAGACTTTGTTTGAAATGCAATTTATTTGAGACAACCTCAAAACTTGACAGTATGACTGTAACCTTGTTGCTGGTATCTTTAAGATTTATATTGACTGTTTCCCTATGACTATCATTAAGTGTTGTACCTTACGATTCTTGATGAACGTATCTTTTCTTTTTATGTACACCGAGAGCGTATACACCAAGACAAATTCCTTGTGTGTCCAATCACACTTGGCCAATAAAGAATTCTATTCTATTCTATTCTTAATATAGTCTAACTAATCTTTTGGGCTTCCTCTTTAAAGTTTAGTGCCCTCGGTCATGAAACATGGGAGGCTGGGAGAGGACAAGGCTGGAGAGAAGTGATGCTCCTCAATCGATGGGAAGGACAAGAAGGCCTTCTCCTCTGGCTTGTGACTGGTGGATAGTTCAGATGTATTGTCTTTGCTTCAAACACTTTCATTATTGAACTTCCATCAAGAAACACAGTCATTGCTTAATCCTAAATTTGCCCACTTAAATTGGTATTCCAAAGTTGGTGGCAGCAAATGCCAGTTTATCAAGGTGTAGTATGGGGAAACACCCCCCCCCCCGCGTTTATCAGTCTCCAGATCCTTAACTTCTCAGGGTGACCCCTATTTGTAATCATCTAAAAGGAGTAGCAATAGCCATAGCCCTTAAATTTATATACCGCTTCACGATGCTTTAGAGCCTCCTCTAAGCAGTTTATAGAGTCAGCCTCTTGCCCCCAACAATCTGGGTCCTCATTTTACTCACCTCGGAAGTATGGAAGGCTGAGTCAACCTTGATTTGGTGAGGGTTGAACTACTGGCAGTCAGCAGAATTAGCCTGCAATACTGCATTCTAACCACTGAGCCACCACAGCTCTTGCAGAAAGAACTGTCCATCCATCTGTCCATCTGTCCATCCGTCCATCCGTCCATCCATCCATCCGTCCATCCATCCATCCACAGCAATGTTCCTTGGTAACTTTAAGATGTGTGGACTTCAACTACCAGAATTCCCCAGCCAGTGAGGAAATCTCTCTCTCTCTCTCTCTCTCTCTCTCTCTCTCTCTCTCTCTCTCTCTCTCTCTCTCTCTCTCTCTCTCCCTCCCTCCCTCCCTCCCTCCCTCTCTTTCTTCTATCTATCCTCTCTCCCTCCCTCCCTCTCTTTCTTCTATCTATCCTCTCTCTCTCCCTCCCTCTCTTTTCCATCATCTATCTATCTATCTATCTATCTATCTATCTATCTATCTATCATCTATCTATCTATCTATCATCTATCCTCTCTCTCATCCTACCTCACCCCATCCTATCATCCATCCATCCATCTTTCTTTGTCTCTCTCTCTCTCTTTCACTCTCCCTCCCTCTCTTTCTTCTATCTATCCTCTCTCCCTCCCTCCCTCTCTTTCTTCTATCTATCCTCTCTCCCTCCCTCCCTCTCTTTTCCATCATCTATCTGTCTATCTATCTATCTATCTATCTATCTATCTATCTATCTATCTATCATCTATCTATCTATCATCTATCTATCTATCTTTTATCCTCTCTCTCATCCTACCCCACCCCATCTTATCATCCATCCATCCATCCATCTCTCTCTTTGTCTCTCTCTCTCTCTCTCTCTCTCTCTCTGTGTGTGTGTGTGTGTGTGTGTGTGTGTGTGTGTGAAGAGTCAAATTAGCACGCGAAGCCACCCCCACAGATGCCCTGCCTCTTTCTTAGCAGAACAGTGTAAGTGTGGCATCATCTTCACTACTTAAACCTTCCTAACTAGGGACTTCCCCACCCTTTTAAGATCCCGAGCTTGCAAATGGACTCTTGGCTGAGCTAGGAAGGTTCTGTTTTCGGGGTGCTGCTTTTGGGCATAGCCCTGACCTTCTGGGTGGCAGTGGAGGAAACCTTGGTTGCCTTAGCCACCCCCTAAAGCAGGAGCTTTCCCTTGCCCACCTGGCTCTGTGCAGGTGTCCCCTTGACACTTTCAAATTTCCAGAGAAACACACTTAACCTTCCACGCAACCCAGGAACTGCAGCCTCTGTTTGGATTGTTGAAGCATAAACTATTCTGACATTGTTTAATGTGTAATCCAAACTGTGTTGGGCACTGCCCAATATGGAAATGTAGCTCTTTGGTAAACATCAGGAGGACTTTCGGAGGAAAAAATTCTTCTGAAAAATCACCTGGTCTAACCACACAGAGTCACGGCCCTTTCTTTCTTTCTTTCTTTCTTTCTTTCTTTCTTTCTTTCTTTCTTTCTTTCTTTCTTCCTTTCTTCCTTCCTTTCTTCCTTTCTTCCTTCCTTCCTTCTTCCTTCCTTCTTCCTTCCTTCCCTTCCTTCCTTCCTTCCTTCCTTTCTCTCTCTCTTTCTTTTTTCCTTTCTTCCTCCCTTCCTCCCTCCCTCTTCTCATTCCCATCTTCCTTCCTTCCTTCCTTCCTTCCTTCCTTCCTTCCTTCCTTCCTTCCTTCCTTCCTTCCTTCCTACAATGGGGGTTCTTCTGCCCCAAGAAAGACCTCTTCATTTGGGCAGCCATGTCAACAAGCTCTGCGTTCTTGTTCTAAGTGGAGAATGAACAGATTCAATGATTTGATTGAGAAGCGGGAGATCTCATCGCCTTAACTGTGTTTGTTGGGGTGGTGGGATCTCAGATACTTTGCTTGAGTTGGCTCCACTTAAAGGAAAGACACGGGGGCCTCATTTCTCCAATGCTCTTCACCAGAACTTCAATCTGTGTAAGAGCGTTGGAAGGCCACGCCTTGATGCATACATCAAAAGCTCCTTTTGGGGAGAGGGCCTCCTATGGACCCCTCTTGGATGCAGCTTCTCAAGAGTCCTGAGTTTATTTGTGGAGAGACTATTTTTGCCCATCCCAAGAATGATTGGAGATAGATCCATCATCCCCCACTTCTCTGGTGGGTCTCAGAAAGAACCATACGACTGTCATGCTCCCACTGACACATTCTTTTAATGGGTGAGAAGGAGCTCGTGTCGACATATGTGACACGAGAATGTGTCGCATAGTTGCATTTGCTCTTCACCATAGAAGTGGTTTTCATCCTTGATTGTTTAGATGTGTTGGTAAATGCTCATTATTAAATTTGGTGCCATGGTTTGATAACTTTTGATGACAATTGATTGATTGGTTCTTAAATGTCAGGAGCCCTCTTGGCAAGGATTTATCCTGAAAAGTACACACTCTGGTCTATAAAATGAAACCTTGGTGCTCGGAGAGGAAGTAATTTACTAAATCCCAGATCATTAGCCATAGCGGTAGGATCAAACTCTGGCTTTTCAAATTGTGAGCAATTTGTGCTGAACTCTTAAAGTGCTCAGCTGTGGCCTGGATTGGACCCATTAACTGGCTTCAGACATTGTTTTAAACCCTCGTTTGCTTAACTGTAATCTATTCACCATTGATGATGTATCCAAACAGATTAAATTACAAATCGTAGTTTACAGAGGATCACAACTTGGGTGTAGAGGGAAAAGGAAGGACCTTGAAGGCAGGAGAAAAAAACTGTTACCAAGTAAACAGCTAGATAAGCGCGGGATTGAGCCCAGGCCAAGGGCCCAGGGAAAACATCAGACAAGCCCTTCCAAAACCACACCGAGCCAAAATTCATTCAGACCTTCCCGTCTTGTTCCTAAAGCTGTGAGTGACAATAATGGTAAGTCCTGACCTAGATGGCATGGCATCCTTAAACCGGTCACCGCATGGGGTGACCATGTGTTTGAAGAAAACCCCCACATTGTTCATGTATGTCCTCCCCTCCCCCCACGCTCTGTGGTTGCAGGCCAATCTGGAAATTGATCAAGAGCAGGGGTCTGCAACCTTAAACACTCAAGAGCCAATTTGGACCTGTTTCCCACAGAGAAGAAAACACCGGGAGCCACAAAACCTGGGTGGCGTGGCCAACTCGATGTCACTCACTTCCACCAGTCACATGACACCCCCCCAGCCACGCCTACCCAGCCAGTCCTTAGGGCAGAGAACCAGTTGTTAAAAAACTCTGGGAACCACAAAATCCTTTTGACATCTCTCTCTCTCCCCTCCTTCCCCCCTTCCATAGCTCCCTCTCTCCCCCTCTCTCTGTATCTCTCTGTCTCTCTCTCTCTCTCACTCCCCTCTCTCTGTACTCTCTCTCTCTTCTCTCTCTATCCCCTCTCTCTGTATCTCCTGTCTCTCTCCTCTCTACCTCTCTCTGTATCTCTCTGTCTCTCTGTCTCTCTCTATCCCTCTCTCTGTATCTCCGGTCTCTCTCTCTCTCTACCCCTCTCTCTGTCTGTATCTCTCTCTCTCTCTCTCTCTCTCTACCCCTCTCTCTGTATCTCTCTGTCTCTCTCTCTCTCTCTCTACTCTCTCTCTCTACTCTCTCTCTCTCTCTACTCTCTCTGTATCTCTCTGTCTCTCTCTCTCTACCCTCTCTCTGTATCTCTCTCTCTCTGTCTCTCTCTCGTCTCTCTCTGTCTCTCTCTCACTCTCCTCTACTCCCCTCTCTCTGTATCTCTCTGTCTCTCTCTCTCTCTCTCTGTCTCTCGTCTCTCTCTCTCTCTCACCCCCTCTCTGTATCTCTCTGTATATCTCTCTCTCTCTACCCCTCTCTCTGTATCTCTCTGTCTCTCTCTCTCTCTCCACCCCTCTCTCTGTATCTCTCGCTCCTCTCTCTCATCTCTCTGTCTCTCACTCTCTCTAGTCTCTCTGTATCTCTCTCTCTCTCTCTCTCTCTCTCTCTCTCTCTCTCTGTATCTCTCTGTCTCTCTCCTCTCTGTCTCTGTCTCTCTCTCTCACTCTTTTTCTCCCCCACTCTCTGTATCTCTCTGTCTCTGCCCTGGCCGCTTCTCCATCCCCCACTGTCGCTCCTACCTTCTCAGGCCAGGTGAGGAGTGACTGGGAGGGGAGGGCGAGGGGTGGGTCCAGCCAGTGGTGGGATCACCCGACAGGGAGCCACAGCAGAGGGCCCAAAGAGCCACATGCGGCTCTGGAGCCTCAGGTTGCTGACCCCTGATCTAGAGATTGAGTTGACAGGTTTGAAAACTAGTGAGCCATTCCAGAGATCTGGCCTTCAGTGTCAGCTTTGTTGACATCTTCCGGGTTCAGGTGGTGCCATAAATCTTTTAACGAACATACCCACACCGTAACAGGGATTTGGAAAACCTAAACAGATTAAACTCCATAGATTCATTCTTTGGGATTCTTCCAAGACGTTTAGCAATTCAGAGGAAACATGCCGAGTCATTGTTTACCTTGAAGCTTTACTGGCAATTATAGTAGAAAGAGAAACAAAAGTTTATTTAGCATCCAAGTCTTGGGAGAGGCACGGGGGTGGGGGGTGGGGGGTGGGGGGTGGTGGAAGCGACTTAACTCTGTGTTCTTCCACCAACAATGGCTTAGTCACAGTCAATTTCTTCCACACATAATTCCCACCTTATTTCTACCAATCAATAGATGGTAGCCCCTTCCAAGTTTTCAACCTGGATTGGCTCCAGGTTGGAAGATGACGAACTTACTTGCTACTTACTACTTACTTGCTACTTACTACTTTGCTACAAAAAGGGCTGTCAAATCGTACGAAAGTCCTTTTTATCTCCTCTTCACCTATAATTCAAGGACCAGGGTTTGTGGGCATTGGGAGGGGGTCCATTTTACGTCGAATGGGCCAAGCGGTATCTCAGAATTGGCAGTAGGACTCAATTCAGCCAGAAAACATCACTTTTGACACAGAGCTCAGATTCAGAAAAGAAACACATATTTTAAACCTTACCATCTTGACCTAGGGAGTCAACCAATAGCTTCTTCCCCAGCAAAAAAAGAAAAACTTAGGGGCCATGACTGAGAGTGAAGAGCAGATTTGGCTTCCTCCATCACCTGCTGTGGGGGACCCCACCTAGCCCAGAAGGCTCTTCTCCATCCTGCAAAGCCT